ATCACACAAGTCATGAATTGTTATATGCAGCATTAAAAAAAAATACTTCTGTGATCCGTCTGTAAATATTTAGTGCAATATATATATATACTTGCATATCAAACTTGTGGCCCCACTCCGCCTTGTGATGAGGACCAAAAGTCATGTGGCTTCAATGCGATCCTGGTGATATCCAATTCTGAACCTCAGTTTTCACAGATTGATGCAACCTGTTTTGTGCGAGGTACCCATCAGCCTTTCCTGCAATATGATGTGTATATGTATAATTACACATATATGTGTAGTATGATGCTGGTAAATATCGCAAACTTTCAACAAAACCTTCTCACATATTTTGTGCTGCTGGATGGGCTGTCACAGCAAGATACACATCCCTCCACAACCATCCACAAGCTACGTCAAAACATTAGAGTCAATTCCACTAAGAGGGTATGTATAGACATGTATAGACCATAGATGTACATGTTGCGTTTTCGACAACAAAAAAGCTCGGAAGACCCATTCAGAAAAAACGCGTCAAATTCGACTTGGAACGAAAAAACACCCAGATCCAAACAGCGAACGCCGAAAAAATACGAAATCTTCGCCAAAGGGCCTGATTTGGCCAGGTCATCATCACTTACACCTGGTGGATAGCGATATCAATGGTCCCAACGATGTGCAAATCCCCTCAAGAACCATGGGTTTTTCCTTGGGGGGAAAACTCATATTGGAAGGGAATGGAAGAAAATCGTCACCAGTGTTTACTCTTAAGTATTCACCCATATATTAATCCGAACATTGTCTAATTGATGAGCAAATTGGTCCCAATTGAATCAGATGAGAGTTGGGGCACCACTGGGGGGGCTCATCCGGGGCCTTGCGCATTGAGAAGATGCTCGACTGTGCTCCTGCAGGCACAGTAGAAACAAATGCAAGCAATATATGCCAACTACCACCAAGTGTATGAGAATGGTTATCTATGTATCTATCCATCCATCCATCAAACTATCTAAACATACACCAACCATATCTTAACATATCTTAACTGGTTGGTGTAAATAATCTTATATCATGTACAACACGAGCTTTAGACATGAACAAACATGAAAACAACAAACAATCATGACAAACACTGCTTGGTAGCTACCTGGTTACCCGTTGAAAAAAAATCTCAGCCCAATGGGATCATCAAAAACGTTTGAAGCCAATCCGTCGAGGTTGCGATGCGGTCCGCAATTTTGTCTGCTTCATTCTGCTGATGTATCCCCATTTGCATCCATTTGCTGGATAATCATTGGATACCATGACCTAAGGACCTAGTGCAAAGCAAAATCGCTTCCCGTAAGTTATAAGCTAATCATGGAACATCGCATAAAAATCGTGGATGTGTTTATTTCTCATGGCAAAATACTAAAAATTGGGATTTTCCACTGCCAAGATTCTTTACCATATTTGTGACTGATGTTTCAGCAAGATTCAATGGCCTCGGGTCAAAACCTGACGAAACCCTAGTGATTACCAGCTAGGCTGCTGGATTTTCTGGATGTTCGTGCCCACCAAAAATTGGGGAATTATAGGTCAAGCACATAGGTAAGTTGATCCATCCTCCGTTGATTCATGTGATTCATGAGGATTTATAAGTACTAATTAATCACCTGTAATGATGAGGTTTGAGTACAAATCCCCATCTGGCGAAATGATCACATTTCACTCATCTTAACCATTCGTTTCACAATCAGATATGTACATATATGTACCCCATGTTCTTCCTTTCAACATCATTCCAGGTGACTCAAGAACAGTGAGGTCCCTTATCATTTACCCAGGATCTATAACCTCCCGAGCTCAACCAGACCCAGAGCCATCTCCCACCTTCGTCGCTGATGTAAGGAGGCTTTCGCCTTGGCGGTCGACACGGACTCGTCGTGTGGAACCACCTCCACGGCCGTTCCGTCAGGTCGGGGCGGGACTGGTTGTTCACATCATGGGAAAATGATTAGATGATGGGAAATGTATGGTCAAATTTATGACACTTATGGTTGATTCTGGTTGATCATTTGACCATATTCTTTTCCCAAATACATAACATGTAGAACTGCAGACTTTGCCCCTGCGCGTTGCTATTTGTACTATCACCTCCCTTAAACTACTGACACCATGGTTAGCAAAACACCCAACTAGGCCTATCACATGTACAGGCGGTTTTGAACATGCCAGAACTGTGGTAGTGGTAGACGTATCATGGGTGATTTCACGAGTCTGATTGGTAATTCCCATATCACGGCGATGGTGACATCGTTGGATGGCCAGAAATGGAACTATATGAAGCATTATGAAGCGTCTACTTGCAAAATGATACAGTCTGTCTATCTGTGGCCTTTGGTTCACTCTTGCGTCACACTGTATGGTTTGAAACAACAGCATCAGAAAGTTTCAAAAGCCACTCAAAAGAAACCCTACAGCTATGTTTAACAAAATCATCACATCATGACGAACAGCCCTGACGGAAAAAGACTACCGCCACGGTCTCCCCGTATTTCCCAGCGGCTAGCCCCGAGGCTCAATCTGAATCGCCAATGAATAACTCACCAACCTTACAATTTCGACTATGGAAAAGGACCAACTTCCCCAATCCGAATCATCATTCATTCCAGTGAAGTCGCAGTGATGTCGCTATATGATATGAATCATATATATTTATATATATCAAATCAATCCAAATTATACACATATTATATATATGAATATAATTAAATATACAAGTATTATGAACCAACTTATTTTCATTTTATTCATGATATTGATAAAACAAATCACCATTTCTACTCCATTTTCGGCGGAGATGACCCCTTCGGCCTGCTGAAAGCCTTTCACATCCTCGTCAGAGACCAAGGATTCGAAGGATTCACCACGCCTGGCGGATCGGAGAGCGGTCAAGCAGAAGATGAAGATTTATGATGAGAATAATTGAGAATATCATGCTATGAATAATATGTATATTGAAGGGTGGCTTACTTGAAAAATATCATTGTCAAATTGAATTGCCGAATATATGGGTTATGACTATATTTTAAAATATCATTGAATATCCTGATATCCATAATTTTCATATGACTTTTGCCATGATTTTGTTGACATAGGTTGGCATATGTTGGTTTGTTTTAAAATGGCCCCAAATCCAAATCCACGATTTTATCATCATGCTCCCCGCTTAAATTGTTTTCGGGGATATACCAATTTGATTCAATTTGTTCAACTAACCCAATTAGCAGTGAGACAACTTGTCATGGCTACAGTATGTCGATTGATTTTCTGAACATTGCCACCCGTCGAATTTTTCATCCGCCTGGCACTGTTCATACTGGCAGCCACACTGTTCATACTCTTCTTGTGACTCATCACTTGGACCTGCCAGGCTACCACTACGGAAAGGGATGAGCAACGAGCAACGCATACCGTGCACATATGATGTATGTCTGCGAGGAAAGGGACCCTGAGGATGTGCATGTACATAGATATATATATATTGCAAATGTATATAATGAACGATTATAATTATATACTAGATTATAATAGATTGCAATAGATTATAATAGTGCATTCCCATGGTCCCATATTCTTTGTACATGAATTTATCCTGTGAGTGGTACAGTAACAATGACAAATCCAGCCTAAACGTGCCATTTCAATTCTGTCAGGATCCCAGTTTGCACCCTCAAATTTCGGACACCATGTGCAGTCCAGGAAAAAAAATGAGTTTTCTCTGGTTGGTTTCGGGGTTCCCACAAGTGATCAAAAGTTCTTTTTTGAAGAACATGCAACCATAATATAATGTATTGAATTTGAAGTACTATTGATGCAGCTGGGGCAACAAAATCAATCCACAGCCTGACAGCCGTGTACTGGTATGGGTTTCACATTATCTCATGTGTCTCATGTTCGTACTTCCATTGGTTTTTGTATTCACTGATGCCTTCCACAAGGATATGGAAAACCCGGGTGAAGAGAGATGACAAACGAAACTCGGTCTTGGTTTGAGAAATGATTTGATTGAATTCAACAGTAGCTATATACAAAATATGATAATATATAATGTTCTAATGTATATATAACATAATATAATATTGTGTAGACATTATAAATATTGATTATATTAATACAATATATTATATCTGTAAATACAGCTACAAATATAAATACACACGGAATCAGAATATAGGGATATAGGGTATAGATTACATAATTATCATAAATATGTATAAATGTATATATATATAATATAACACAATAATGTGAAGATTTAGAGCAACTCAAAAAAGTCTTCCAAGCCTAGAGGCAGCAATTTTCCAGGCGATGAAGGTCGCAATTCGAAGGGTGAAGCAACATGTCATGATAGATCTAACAAACAACATGACCAAACAATCTGTAGTTCAAACTGCGCCTGAGATTTTGAAGTCCACCCCCTCAAGCCTCCACCACATCACATTGCACATGGCTTTGTCCGAAAATAGGCTACCCCAAAATGTGATTTTTTGTTGAGGTGGTAAACCTAATATCTCCATATATATATATATGATTATATATTATATATCCTAATATTAATCATCCAGAATCATCCCATCAAGCAACCATGACTGGGGAAAAGCCCAATCAACCTCTGGACGGGATATTTTGGGGGGTGCCCAGCATCCTCACCTGACTGCGCAAGCTGTGACTCGGGGCCGGCGGTTGGTCAATTACCTCCGTGTTCCGCGGGGAGTGCGACATCACCTGAGGCAAGGCGTGAATTCAATAGAAACCACACTTGGGATCATTGGTTTTCTATGGTATCCTTGCAATATCTTGCAATCAATGAAGTTGCCTTATTTTCGAAATCATGTCGAACCTTACATGACTAGGCCACTTCCGAATATTGAGGTTTACTGGGTACAGTAAAACCATGGTGAACCAGGACCAGCCACACCCATAGCCCATAGCATGGAGGGGCAGCTGGTATCGGGCCTGCGATGGGCTTCTATATATGACATGATGTGAATTGTGCAAGCGTCTGTTAAACCCTGGTTTAAACTCAAAACTCCAGACCTGGGACTTCTTTGCCTGCTGGATGAGTTCAAGTTTCACATGCATCATGTTTTGATATTTTGTTGAGCATGTTTTAGCCCTGAGGAAGCAAAGTCGCGCTTGCACCCTGCCAAATTCTTCAAAGGAGCAAACAATCAAACTCTTCCAAACCATTCCAAACCCAACCCTCCAGAAATCTCAAGCTCTCAAAATCAAAGAATTCCGGTCCCAAGAACATCTACCACCGCTACGCTGGGCGAGGCGTTCGAGGCGACTTGGTTCGCACGGCCAATGGGTCGACTGAAGGCGCTGAACGCTAACGAAACCATTGGAGGAAGCTGACGGCCCGGCCTTGGGATGGTGATTTCACAAGAAATTCTGAGATCCTGAAATGGGTGACCCCAAAATCATATATCTGTATATATCTGTATAAATAATAAAATATGAAAAACATATGCAAATGTGTATAATTATAATATGGATGTATAGTTATTCTTTTGAATTGGGGAAATCGGTGAGCCTTTGGATGGTGAAAAGGGGCACCCAGGTTTTCCAAAACACCCATAGTGTTTCAAGCCGTCATGGAAAAAAATGGGGCTGAGCTAGAAGAAATCGGGGCTCGGCACCAAGAATGGAGGTTTCACCCACAAGTATGGAGATTGAATGAGATTGAAATGACATGGGAACGGGTCAAGACGTAGCTAGATTGGATTTTCATATGATTTTCATGTTTCTGCATTTTTCCCAACATTTTTCACAACAAAAATAGTTCTCAAAGACGGTAGTCAGCCGCTAGTCAGCTCTGACCCAGGGACCATCCCCAGCCGCGCCATGTTGGCCAAGCAACAACTGGATGGCCGGTGAAGCCAGAGTTGGAGGATGTGGCCCATGAGGCTTCCTGAGGTCATAACATAACTGGTTCCACCCAAAGTGGCAATTCACGGCACATGACATGATTCCTTGAGAATCAGGATGAATCAGGTACCAAAATAATCCCAAATAATTACCCCAAATCACCAAGAATTCATGGGTCTTCAAGCTTGACCCATAGCGACATGAATGACATGAAAGAAAACCAGGCCAGTGCAGCATGGAATCCCGGAGACCGCCAGCTCTGACATATAGCATTCCGCCAGTCTTCGATGCAGGTCCCAAAAGTTGTCCTTTTCTGGTCGCTCCATGCGGCCAACAGGCCGAGGTTGGCCCAGCGCGCCCCCCTGAGAGCTGGGAAAACAGCTGGCAGCCGAAGCAAAGATTCCGGATTGATCAGGTGCCCCCCCGACTCCCAACTTGGGCAAGTGAAAATGAACGGCAAAAGCCAAGTGACATTCTTCAAAAGACCCAGAAGAATGGATTCACAAATGCGGTACATCCGACCTCTCCTACCGTAGGTCTTTCAATTCCAACATGCTTTGCACTGGAAGGTAAGCGTGCGCTCCTTTTCGTTCGAGTCGCAGCTCATGGTTCCGCACCACACAGGGCAGAAACTGCGAGAAGTGGAAAATTCAGGGCCACTGGAGACCTTCGTGTAGGGCCCCGTTGACAGATCAAGCGGTCCTTGAGCATTCTTTTCCATTCAAAAGGCTGATATTGTGCAATGGGAGTCCAATCCAATCTAAGGGACAGGGACCCCAGGGACCCATGTAGGCGGTCAGTGCAACTTTGCCCCACTTTGCTTGATGGTATCATTTGTCCCTTGCCTGACTTTGGGACAACTGCTGTAGGACATGCACAGCGTAATTGATTTCACATGCTATGCGAGCTCTTGGTTGGGAAAATAGATATATTAACCTCGAGTATCTATATACGATATGAAGAATCGTAGGTCATCGGTCTTGACCTACCTTCCCATAAGAAACACACCTTCATACTTGTGGATCAAATCAGAATGTTTGATGATTACAACATGCTTATATAATCTTATATAACCCCATGTATCCAATTTTAGATGGTACATGGTGAAATCGCCATGTTTTGATCAGGATTGTGAAAGGTCTCAGCTCACTGCTCCTCCTCCATGGAGCCAGCCCTGCGGTTGCTAGTGAGATTTTTTGTGGTGGGAACGTGGGTGGGTGATTCAAATGGGTTAACTGGTTAATCCTCCAAAGTGGTGGTTTGACCAGCAACAAGAGGGATCTAATCAATGAATAGAACATATATATATATAATTGATATGTATATATATATAATTGATACATATATATATATATACATAATATAATTGATATATATATATATAATTGATACATATATATATATAATTGATACACATATATATATATATATTATAAGTGATATATATATACATACAAATATAATATAATTGATATATATATATATAATTGGCGTATATATATATATAATATAATTGATATATATATATATAGATAATTGATATATATATATATAATTGACACACATATATATATAATAAATTGATATAATTGATATAATTGATATACTTGATATACTTGATATATATATATATAATTGATATATATATATTATATATATATGGCTCATTCAAACAATAACATCCCAATGTTCCAACATCCCAGGTTAACATTAATTACATCCTCATTGGATAGTCCCTATGTAGTTTCATCTCCTAGTACCCCATAGACTATGGGGGGTGATTCATATTATTGGGAAGGCACGATACCTGGTGATTTTTCACCCAAGATTTTTCAACCAACATGGACGGCCATCGGCTGAGTTTGCTGCAGGGTCTTTTGTCGGAAATTTTCAAGCCACTCATCTTCAGGCCTCACAGGAGGCTGGGCCCACTGAGGCCATGCTGGAATCGACTGTTGGCTACATTAAGGTAAGTTCGAATCATAGTTCTTCTGGAATACCAACTACACAAATGCAACCTCTCGCATCTCCAGAATTGGACACAACCTCAACAAAATTCCCTCTGAGTCCCAAAGTCTCAAGCCAGCAATTCCGCACGCACGTGGCAGTATCCCAAATGTCAATGAAGTTCCATCGAATGCTTTCGTCATCGGGAGTATATGAAAAGCTGCTTGAATCTGCTTGGTGGGGGCAACCGCTGCACCCAAATTAATAAGGAGATCGCGCAGTCACGTTTCCCCTAAAGGGGCGGTCACTCTGCACCGCCATCTGGGGTTCCATGCTTGAAGTCGCCATAGAAGTATTCACCTTCTCCGGTGAAGAAGGTCAGTGTAACACTTCCTCCGGCAAATTGCAAGGGAAATCTGCAGAAACACAACCAAAATCAACCAAACATCTTTTCTAAGAAGACAACAAATGGAAGCAACTCAACTATCTCAACTCAAGAAAGCTGTTGCTTCTCTGCTTTTCTATCTGCTGAATGACTACATCCCATCTTTATCATCTTTTAACCCCTGATATCCCCTGATCGGCGGTCCTTCTGAATCCATGATGGGCTGAATGGCATCATCGAATGAGAGGCCATGGACAGGCCTGAGGTTGTTAAACTGAAATGGATTGCATGTACCTAAATAATCCAAAATGATCCAAAATGCAATAGGTCAACTGTCCAGGATCCAATTTTCAATTACAATTGAATGTCCATAATACCTAATTAAACTGAAAATTAATCTGAAGGACACTCACACTATCCAGGATTGTGGACAACTGCATTCTATGGAAACTGAGCCAAGCGGTCCTCACTGCCGTAGACTCAACTTGCAACACAATGGCAAATGTTGACACAATGCAATGCACGGTTCAAAATTTGGTACCCTACAATTGCAAGGTTGTCTGACTATACATCAAAAAAAAACGAATCTGCTAGGCTAGGTCTGTGATCCAGCATCAGTAGATTGTAAAACAATGACCAAATCAGATCGCTTGGTGACTCATATACTGTGCTACGAGACCATCCAGTGCTCCTCTGACCACATTAGGGGCTCGGACGTGCCATTCACGAAGATCAAATGATACCCCGCCTCGGCATGATTGAAACGAACTTACAATACAATGGAGGATTTTGTTTTGCAATGATATAATAAAGAGGTGGCAGCCACAATGAATACCAAAATACTTGGGGATTTTCTGATAGCAGGGATGCCTTCAACTCCAAAAAAAAATGTCATGTTCCACAGGCAGGTGTGTATTCCGCGGTTCCCTTCTTCAATCACAAGGTATACCATGACTGGAACAACATCTGGGTATGGTTCATCAACCCAATGGTTGCTATTTTGAGAATCATTATGTGTTGAATATCGGATAATATATGTTGAATCTATGATAATATCATATCAAAATACCATCACTATCAGCTCAGCCCATCGAAAATGATCAACCCAGATTCCCTTGGTAATTTAAAATAGCTATGGAAAATCATCAGTTTGTATTTGGTAACTCAGCTATATTACTATATATATGATTATATATGGGTCATTTTCCATAGCAAGGTAACATGCCAAATCCGAAGGATCATATTATGTCATACTCATAGTATTTGCTATTATATTTATTTATTGCTATTCCCACACACCCCTCTTGAGCCCTGCAGGCATCCTCAGGCATCCTGGCGCGCAACAACCCTGTCTGGTCAGCATTGGAGTTCGCCGCAACCTTGGCGGTTCCCGGTAGCAGGTTACATTTGTTACATTCCGAGATTTAAAGATTTACAGTACGAGTACAGCAATCGGAGGCCCCGCATTGAAGGAGTTTATCTAAAGTAATATCAGTTGTAATCATGAGTATTGGTCTAAAGCGAAACTCATTTCACGAGGTCATACGGAACCTGGTTGCATTCTTTCTCTCCCTTTCCAGTGATCTCTGGGAGAGCGTAAAAAACGAGATGGGCTATCGGATCAAACTCCCGACCAGCCGGCCACCCCGACAGGGCACCTTGTCAATCATGACTCCATTACCCTCATCATCCTTAGGAGCGTGTCAAACACAAGGCATCTATGGCTGTCACGTACGTTGAGTAGCATGCAGATCTTCCGTTTCCAGGTGAGATCTTGAAACGATCATCGAACAAAAAATTAAGGAAAAAAAAACATATCTGGTTGGTGGTTTTACCATCTTGAAAAATATTAGTCAATGGGAAGGATGACATCCCATATATGAAATGGAAAATAAAAAATGTTTGAAACCACCAACCAGATATCTTATAGTAGATTTTGGTGATCAAACCATCACTTTGCGTTGGATAGTTCTGCCATCCATAAACAACATAATTAGACATCCGTATCATGGTTGACTCACAATCTATACCCCCCATGGTTCACTGGCAAGCATATCTCCCCATCGTTGGGTGTTAACTGCTCCTATATAGCCTGATGCCAAGGTGCGGAATTCTCCACGAATTCCAAACCCAAGGGCTTTGCCAAGGACACCGTGACGTAATTCCTCAGCTCAACCCACAAATTAAACAGGCCACTGCACTTTGGGGCGTGAAAATCATGTTCACTCAAGCTTTAAGATTGATCATTCCACATTCCACTGCACCGGAAAATACCTGCATTGTACCTCAAGAATCGTGAAATTCACCTGTCAACAGGTGCACCCCTATTTCGCAAATTTTCGTCAGTCCATGTATCCCTTAAATGATCCCATCCATTCCCCCATATCGGCGGATCGAGGCTCATCTCATCCATGGAGTCCATGAAAGGATCCAAGTCGTCTCTGGAGGCGATGATGGCCTCAAGGTGCTGCCCCCCTGGCGGCCCCTGGCTGCTGTTTGATGGGGTGGAAACTGCCGAACTGCCTTTGGGGATGGAAAATCAAAGAGGTACACAATAGATACAATAGATGAAACATGATGAAACAATCCTGGCATGGACATACATCATACATCGTACATCATACATCATCAGCATACATGTCTTGAGTTGAACAAACCAGCTGGGCCAGCCGCTCTGTCCCAACCAAACCTGGCTGGGAAAGGCGGCTGAACGGTGGACTCCGGGAATCTTTCATGTGGCCATGGGAAATCCGTTAATGGAGGATTTAATGAGACAACATTGGAACACCATCTATAAATGGGTGATATTCGATTGGAATCATACTTTATGAACAGTGCATACGATATGAGAATGATGAATTTACTGCATGTTTTATGCGGCACTTCATCATATTTTCATCTACACATACGCTGTAAATACATGTCCAGCAGCTTTTGCAAGGGCCGCATCTGCGCACAGGTGTCCATTTTCAGATGTCAATGGCCGTAGCAGGTTTTTTCCAGTGCTCGTTGGATACTCAGCAGTCCCCCCAAGTTGGAAATGGTCAAATGAAGTGCAGAAACGGCCCCGGTAACGGCCCCGGTTTCGTTGTAATTTACCACGGCCGTTTCCCCATTTTCTGGTCCCATTTCCAGACGGGTCACAGGCGATCGATGGGCGTGATGCGCTGCTGAGCTGTAAGCTCCTGGCGAATCAACGCGTTTTGCACGGGATGCGCATGGGAGTAGCCAAGTTCCAAAATCGGATGGAACCAAAGCATGGTGGGCTCGGATTCTGCCAGGCCTGCTGCTCGTATTGCTCATTGAGGCCAAGCCCCTCCTTTGGCAGGGAGAAGGTTGACATCTTATCACAATCTTGAGATGTTCGGCCATTTGAGTTTTTGCTACTTGTGGTCTTGTGTGTTCCAAGTTTGATTTCACATCGTGGGAAAATCCAGCGGATAGAACCGCCAGCTTCATCCATCTTCTACATGTCAAATAATAATCTTAGCTTGTTTCTATGGATCAAAAGCCCCAATTTCCACTGGCCAAATCTGTCACATTTTTTTTTCTTGGAACAACTAACGAGAATCTATAGGTAAAACATCGTTTATCTAAATCATTGTCTTCCTTCACCAAAATAAATAAAAACTTACTGTAGTAACATATATATATATATTATAATATGGGCCAAAAACAACATTAACAAATCACATCAATTCACGTCCAAGTTCCATAAAATTATGATCAACACACGGTTACAAACAAATTCAGATTTGCTGATCATAATGATCATAATTTTATAAATCACGTCCAATTTCCATAAAATTATGATCAATCAAACACCTCAGATTTGCGCCTTCATGGCCTTGGCGAAGTCGGCTCCAAAGTCCGGCTCTGGCTGAACCTCTGGCGCCTGCTGGGACAGCGGTGCCTTGTAAATAGATAATGGTAATTTTAATGTAACGAACATCATTTTGTGTATATTATATAATGTGTATATATATAATGTGTATATATATATATAATGTGTATATATATAAATAGTGTATATATATATTATGTATATATATAGTATGTATATATATATTATGTATATATATAATGTATATATAATGTATATATAATGCATATATATAAAATATATAATGTATATATCTATATATATAATTATGTATAATGTATATATATATAATGTATATACATATAATGCATATATCTAATATATATATATGTATATATATATATAATGTATATATATATATAATGTGTATATATATATACATTTATATATTATGTATATGCATATTGTTATTATGTGAATACATAATATTAAAAAAAAAGTTCCTAAACCAGACATCAGAATGATTTATATACAGTAGATATTAGATACATTACTTTGTTCCATATGGCTATTTATATGTGTAGATATAGATATATGTGGATATACTCATATCAAAGATGTTAATCATACCAAAGTCCACAGATTTGCGAATAGAAACGTATATAAATTACCACTGTTTCAGTGACGTTTATGTAATTCTATCTTATCGGGTGGTAAACCAGATTAGTCGAGCCATTTGGGGATGCCTTCCATACTTTCAGTAACCATCAAACATGGTGGTGTTTAACTAGCAACAATGGTGGTAGAATGGATATGTTTATCATTGGGATCTGGAAGCTCAGAGAAAGATGGGATGTTAATAGGATAATGGGATAGTAATGGGATATACAGCCAATAACTATGATTTATATATATATACACATATGATATACATGAGGTCTGTTTAGGGGAAAATCTGGAAGTGCTATAGTGGTTGAACCATTAATAGATATGATTAATAATTAATTTGATTAATAGATATGATGAATAGATACGATTAATAGGTGTGAGTAATAGATATGATTAATACATATGATTAAAATATTTATTCATAAGTGATGTGCACTCTAGCAGTTGGTTATACACATACACATGTATATATATATATATATGTAAGAATTGCCTGCCTCAACTTTGGCCTCTTTATACAATGAGTTGGCTCTAGAGTTGCGTGAATTAATGAATGAACGAACACGTGAAAGACAAAATGAATGATGGATAGATGGAAGGATGGAAGGATGGAAGGATGGAAGGATGGAAGGATGGAAGGATGGATAGATGGATGGATGGATGGATGGATGGATGGGTTTTTGTCACATGTTGGGCCAAAATTTCAAAAACTGCCGAGCAATTTGCTGACAAATGATCAATGATATAACCTTTACATCACTGGTTGCAAATGACAAAATCAGCTACATATATATATACACATACATCTAATTGAATTGTCCATATATATATATATATATATATACAAAGATAACGCACACAACCTTGACTTGAACAAACAATAAATGATATACTTAATACACTTATATATAAATATATACACCAGGTAGTCAATATCTATCTATATATATATATATACCTATGACATAGTTAATACATATGTAATTATATAAAAGATGGATCAAACAGGGAACATATTTTTGCCATGTTTTTGCTGCCATTCTCACCTTCGCCCGGAGGGAAAAATCGCTCACCTTCGCCATGCCTCACAGGGTCAGCCGGTCAGCCCAGCTTGGGCTTCGAACGCGATGCACAATGGTGGGTTTAACGGTGGCTTTACTATGGTTCAATACCCATAGGATCCATGTATGGTATATATATATATATGCTAACATTTGGGGTATATTGATGGCAAATGTTAGCATATATACCATACATGGATCCTATGGGATATGGTTTAGTATGGTTTAATAATGTTTAATATATGAGTGGCGGACAAAATTACTTATTACATCTTATTACCCGCAATGGACATGGCAAAAGTGGGTGGTCCCCTATCGCTTGTGAAGGTTTGTACTTCCATGCTATGTGCAAAAATAGGGTATCGGTAGCTGGGTGGTCCCCTATCGGTTGTGAATGTTTTCGCACAGTTTTGAACATCCATGTCCACTCCTCACTACTTTAGTCTTCCGCTAATTTTGTCGGTTACTCATGTGCTTCCATGGGGTTTAATGGGGAATATGATGATTATACATACAAACATCATGAAATGTAAGCTGACTTAGGGTATACAGTACCCAATGTGTTTCCATTTAAAGACCAACCCACTTTGATGATCAGGACGCGCAAAGCTGCGCAGGCATGAGTAAGAATCATAGATAATGTGTTCATGTCACGGTCAGAGATAATGAAGACGTGAATAGCTGGTTGCCAGAGACAATGATTCAACCCGTCCAATTTTTGTGTCAACAAATTTCAGTTGGAATCATCCCTCAACATTCCCCTTGGTACTGGCCGCATCATGTTGTCTTCCGAACCTTGCTTCTTCAGACTTGAGCGGTTCGGAAGAAACAACTATCCCATCCCTTGAATACCCTGAATATAGGTTGGCAAATGGGGATAAATAACATTAAATAACCTATCAGTCTACATCCCCATCATTGTTTATGGTATTTCCTATTCTCCGGTTGGTACATGCGGATAAATATTGGCTTATCCTATAAACAATGATGGGGATGAGTTAACTATATGGGTTATCCTATGGTTATGCTGTTGGGTTCATCAGCAGGGCTACTTTGAATGGCTCACTTGGGATCTTCCAACAGATCGGGTGCCCTGGCCTCTTCTTACCTGGACGAAAGACACCTGATAGCGTCGCGACGTACCGATTTCATTGATGCTACATGGAGGGACCTGTCTTTAATCACACACTAGTTCAAATTTGATATGACGTGTTATAAATGTATAATATATAGATACATAGTACAGTATGTAAATGTATATAATATACATAAATTGTATATAATTAATGTGGTAAAACCAATGCCATCAACATCCATAAAGAATCTCCAAAATCACAATAAATGGGTTCTATAAACCATCCCCAGTCATCGTTTGCCCACATCCAGAGGCCGAAGCCACCTGCGCCCTCCAGAGGAGACAAACCAACGCCTTGGGAGCTGCTGAAATGGGAGGATTCACGCCATTTTCTGGTTTGTTTCATAGGGAAATGATGGGGGACCTGATTTTTTGGCCCAAGCGCTTGGAATTGAGCTTTTCGGGAGGGAATTGAGGTTTAAAGGTTAAGAATGCCAACAAGACATGAGCAAAAGCATTTGCAAGGAGATCACATGAGTCCTTACTGACCAAGTCTGAAACGACAACCAGAAACACAGCCAGAAACAACCAACTTGGATCTTTACTCCTTTGACCATCACGATGCGTATGTGATCCAGATAACTTTGACATAATGTGGTAAACCCAATGCCATAAACCATCCCCAAATCAGCATTTTTATGGGTGCATATGGGTGCTATAAACCAACACCAAATGGTAGGTTCATGATTCATGGCATTAAAGTTCCGACATGAATGAATTCCCCTCACCTTTACTGTTTATGGAGAGGATGCAGGCTGTTGGCACCCAACATCATGCCCTCAAGGATACTCAAGAAGTCAAATGGTTTTGTCTCAAAATTTGGAAGCCGAGACTCCGCAGGTGTATCATCATTTTCCATCATGTTCCATGTTTTTTCCGTGACGTTTCCATCAGTTTCCCCAAGATTGCTGAGGAGCAGACAGCAGTCGCCAGCCAGGCCTTTTGTCCATTCCGATGGTCAGGTGACAGCCTGTGAGGTCTTGGGATATGTTGGATCTGGGCTTAAAAGATGGGATATCAATAAACAATAATAATAACATGTTCCAAACCACCAACCAGAATAGTGTGGATGATGGGATATCTGATATCGGGTCTGTAAAACCAACTAGTAGCATGTTCTAAGCCAGATGGAGTGGGGGAAGCGGGGAACCCAAAATTTCTGACACCCGAATGATGGCTACCCGGTGGAAAATCAAACATGCCTTGGAAATCCCCGAACTCAATGGAGGATTTTATAGCAGGCCATGGTTGATTGCCGGAGACTATGTCGGGTACAGGCTGAACTAATCTTAAGTAATTAGTCACTGGGTTGTATATGGCTTTAAAAGAAATTTGAAAGGCCATGCACTCTGTACTAACTCCAGGACAAGCAGGCTATGAGCTATGCCTGCATGATGTTTGCCCCTGTTCTCGGCGAAGTCTGAGGGCTTCTGTGCGGGCAGTCTTTGAGGTCAAAGTTTCTGTACTGTACCAAGAAAAAATGCTCCCCATACAAAGAAAATGGCAAAAGCGGTTGCAATTAGGTTAGTGCTTTGCATCCCCAGATCTGCCCCGAATGACATACTCCTGTTTAGTACTGAGTTTGCATGTTTTCTGAAAGAATATCTTCACAAATTCATCAACCTCTTGCGGACTCTTGCGCCTCATGTTTCAATCATGAAACCAATTTACACGAGGGATTCTTTGTTTTTTTCTTCACAACATCATCTCCAGCTCAACTCTGTGCATGATTGGAATATGGGGGCTCGTCATCCCAGTTGTTGGGAAATCTCCAAAATGTCAAACCACCAACCATATCCTGAGAATTTGCTGCTAGATATATCTAGATATCATGGTAATATCCCCATGGTCAGTCAAACCATACAAGGTGGTGCCCCCCAGTTATAAGTTGGTTTATAAACCCCATTAATCCCATTAACTATAGTTATATCTGCCATAAACCATAGGTTTCATGGGAGTTATGTTCACCAACTTATCTAACGAACTGGGGCACCACCTTTGTCGCACAACCACCTCCAAACATCCGAGCTCATGGACCTCGCAGAGCCGCCCATGCGAAACGCCATGGCTTGGTCTCTGCAAGGCATCATTTTTTTTGGCCTTCGCATTTTTCTTTAGTCAACTTTAGTCATTGCATTTCTATAGTGACTCTAGTGAATTTCGATATCATTCATACTACTACGCAATTTTGTAAGGCGTTGGTCCCATCATCTTGAATCTCTGGCTGGTGGTGAACTTTATTTACAACTGTTTATAGTAGCCCGCCAAAAAAAAGAAACTGGATTTATCACTGCTTGAGTAAGATTGTACTGACTTCTACCTTTTCGGTGGTTGCTATCTTGGGGTGGCCAAGATACATCAGTGAAACATATTGAAACCATCACTCCAGGATTCTGATAGTGTCAAAGAAGTGATAGTCTCATCCAAGCACCAAATGAGTGACTCAAGGGATGCGTTCTATATACTATAATTATACATCTATATACTAATATATACTAATGAAAACTGTAACATAATAGATATTGGATGATATTGGACAATCTAGCATTTGTAGCTTATTTCCAAGGGAAATCTCTGGATTTCCATAGCATTTTTCTTCGTTTTTCATGCTGGACTATCAGCGAAGCTGAGACGCGCCGCAACTTCCAACATTCACGCTCACACGACCTGCCTTGCCCAGTTGGATCCTTGAACGCCATGTGGAGGTTTCCCAAAATGAGGGGTACGCCGAATCATCCAATTCCACGGTTTTAGTATTGAAACCGATGGTGATTTGGGGATACCCCCATTTTAAGAAACCCGCATGTGAATGATTGAATTAAAATTGCCGTGGGAAAAATGCGAAAAACTGTGTATAATTCTGACAGATAAATTTGTCAGAAAATCGGATCTTTTCTGCCCCTCGAAAGCCGCGAGTGAAGTCACTGCATGCCATGTCCGCAGTTTTTCACCGCACGCGGTATCATCGGTGGCCCCTGAGGGGCAGTCTCCGATCACCAAGCAAAGTGCATGAAGGAGTTGAGTTGAGATGTTCACCAAAATTTTGGACCTAGTGACTATTCAAAAACTGCATCAATACTTGGTACTTTCAACATAGTAGGGGAAACTACCCCAGTAAAGATGCAAAGGAAATCATATCAAAGGGCATCAGCTGCATCACTCCCAACCATCACCAACGCTTCTCCCTTCAATGGCACCACCCGGCACTCGGGACACACCGGGGTGTACCAATGTTCTTTGTCGGAGAGTGAGACATTCTTCATGTGAAGGCAGCACCAGCTAAGGTTGAAGGACCTGAACTTCTGCAGTGCTTCGGGCAGCGAACTGGCAACTGGCATCTCTGACTTTTTTCAAAAAAATCCAACCATGTACAGTACAAGCTTTGCTATGTCATTCGGATTTCGGATGATTTCGGTCTTCACCACACCTTCTCCACGCCGGAGCCGGCGAAATGTCACCGTGCCTGGCGTTTCGTGAATTCATCGCAGCTGATTGGTGGACGAATTTCTGGAAAACATCCATACTGAGTGCCATAGTGTTTCTATCAGTTTCTCAGTAAATTCACAGGTTTCCTGCCAGCTTTATCCACTTTTGAGAAACCTTCGATCAGGGATTTTTTCCTCTAGGGTTTTTTCCTCTTGGATGACAATCATCCCCAAAGTATTGGGTATTCTATGCAAGAACCATCATTGATTGATTCATATTCGCATATCTTTAGTCTAAAAAAAACAAGTGCTTATCCCCATATCTTTCATGGTTTATAACATGTTATAACTACTAATGACTAATAAATATATGATGGTTTTTGTATGTTTTTGTTATCCCAATTTAAATCACTTCAGCAACCGGTGTACCGAATCATCATCACCCAACTGGACCCCGTTTGTCAAAAGACGGGGTAACCTCCTCTTCCATTGGGGTGCCTCACGCGGCCCAGCATGGACATTTTCATGGACGGGATGGACAAATATTGGACAGATAATATGGAACCATTAATAATCATTAACCATCAATAACCATTAATAGCCATTAACCATTAATAACTCTTAACATTCATGGACATCAAAGGTATACAACTATACGGTAACTAAGTGTGAAATCAGTGAACCGTGACGTCAACCCTTTAAACAAATCTTTGAGTCACAAAAAATGTGACGAAAATTCTGTAACATTTCAGTGCCTTCGGATGGTTCTCAATGGTCAGACCGCAAGTTCAGCCGGTCAATAATTTATAACAACTTGCTGAGTTCTATCTTGCCGCTTCGGAAACTTTCTGTGGCCAAGGTTTTGGAAAACTCATTGCATGAAGGACAAACTCAAACCCAAAGTCTGGGGGCAAAAACCATGCAACGAATCTGGCAACCCAACTGAAGAATAATGAAATGCTCACCGTCAGTGATCATTTGCCCCAGGGTCGTGCATCAGTTCAACAACTATGACCCCCTCTTCTTGGATAATCACAGATATTAGTTCGTGTGGCAAACTCAGAAATAAACCATTGCCTACTTCCTCAAGTGTATAGTTTGGGAGAATGTCACCATGTTCCAGAAAATGGGCTTCATTACCCTCTGGTTATTCAACAATAGTTAACAGAGCTATGGATAAAACTGACCATTTATAGATGATTTACGATGATTTACATTGGTTTACCTCTCAAAAAAGGATGATGTTCCAGTTCGCTACGTCAAACAGTTACCAGAGTCCAGAGGGTAACTATTCCAATCTATCGATCATCCAGTTGCTTGGGCCCATCGGTCTCTTCACCGCCTCCTCTGTCAGGGAAAACGGTGGAGGATGTTTCCTGCAGAAACTGCAGACTGGCTGCACTGTGTCCACTTGAATTTGTGCCATTTGTGCCATAGCCCCCATAAATTATGGCCATATATGGCCGTAAAGTGGGGAAGAGAAGGTGAATCTCGACCAGTCCATTGGGGAACTACCACAGCTTCCCATTTTTTGGAACTGGAAACTCCGACCCGCCATTTTGTATCGCTATACGGCCATAACTGACCATCCAGAAGGCACTTTTTATCAACTCAGTCATTCAGCAACAACGGCCGCCAGCAAGCGATGAAGGAGCCGTAGCAAGTCGTGGAACTGGCTGGAAAATCATGGTTAATAATGGATAATAATGGATAATAATGGATAATAATGGAGCTCCAATTCACAACTCACAAATCTCTCTCTCGCTCTCTCTATCTTTGGCGAAGATCATGCTTACCTGATGTTGCAGAATAACCTCTAGGAAACTAACATAGTGAGGCCGGGAAAATTGCATTTTTTAACGGGTAAATCATCTGTAAATGGCCATATTCAATAGCTATGTTAAATTACCACAGGGTACCTCTGTCACTGGACCAGACTCTTCCAGCATCCTGGTGCCACAAACAGGTCAGATTCCTCAGAAATACTTAGCCACTTCAGCCTCCGGATATCCTCAGCATCACGCTAGCCGACGCTAGCCTTTGCTAGGAGATCCGATCCTGCGGTGTTTCACGCTCCCCTGGTTGATCCCTGGTTGATCCCAGTGGCGTCCTTCAGTGTCCAAACTTCAACCCCGCTGGCAGTGGTCACAGGTCGCGTCGAGTCCTGGCGCCGCTGGCTGCGCCGTGGAAGGGTCATCTGCGATACACTGTGGCGGCAAACCACTTGGGATATCTTGGGAACCATGGAATAGGATGGAATGAGTGAGTTGTTAGGACAAATAATGATCAAATTGCAAGCAGATGTTGAGAGAAAACTGTTCCTACTGGGTCAAACAACCAAGTACTAGACTAGACCTGGCGGATTTAAGCATTGCATTTCTATGACCTTTCAATTTTGGTTGGTGAATAGATTTGAGTCACAGCTACATGATGATTAAGCAAATCAAGCGGAACGCTAAAGTAAATGCAATAAACCCGACTAGGGAAGCTCCTCAAAACAGCTCAAGCTGTCATCTGCAACGTCATTCCAGTGATGATGTGAACAAAGAAGGTCACTCAGCAGCTGCACATGTTGCCACAAAAATAAAATCTGCCGGTTACATAACATCTCATCCTTCCCAGTGGTCTGGAACCATGTGCTCGAAGAACTGGTGGTCTCAACCAACTCAAAAAAAACAAAACTTAATTGAGAATCATTGGATTTACTTGGAATTCTCATCCTGTGTGCAATGAACGCAACAAAAAATCGAAGCCAGGCTAAGTCATATCCCCAGAAATATTTGGTAATATCATGTAATATATGTTTTTTTAAATATCCCCCATGGTTTGTTGGTAAAACCCTTACCCAATGCCCAAACAAGCAAGTTTGGTAGACCCAATGCGCACTGGACTCACCGATTTCTTGTCCTCAGCTGTATTGGGCCGAAGCGTGTTGAAACCGCCTTAGCCCGGGCGCGAAATAGAAGCTCTGTCAGGTCGAAGCCATTATAACATATTATAACCATGACATTACATGGCTTAGAACAGAGGTAATCATGATGATATCATGATGTTGAACCATTATGGGGATGTATGGCATGATGTTCTCTAGATGTAATGATTGTTTGAACCCCATGCCATTACATGGCGTAGAACACTTATGAACGAGCATTGTGTTGTCCGTTTTCAATGGTCACAAACAGGGGCATGGCAGGTTCTACCCAAATACCATGGGCCCAATGAACTGTTCATTCGTTTTTTTTCAACCAAACACCTCAATGTTTAAACCAGCTATTGAAACCCCGTGACTATCATGTTTTTACTCCATCCGTCTAAACCCACATATTTCCAGTTAATATGAGTTATTTCACCTTACTTCAAGACGTTCATGATTCCATTTCCCACATGTTGCTTGCCCATATTTCCCCGCATCTGATAGATCCTATAATGGTATATATGTCTTACTTCATGTTACACAGTTTAAGTATGTTTAAGTTATATACTTCATGTTGCTTCAAGTCCTAAAGAAAAAAAACATCTATTATAGTCCAACTATTTCCAGCCCAAACATTTCTAGCCTCATTTAGTTATTCATCCTACTTGCCCTCTGGTAATCAAGCACGGCAGCGGAATATCCTCATTTATAAATAATTTTCCCATTAAAAACAATCATTTAGAGGGGATTTCCCAGCTCGCCACGGTTATTTAAACAGGAGGGTAGTCCATTCATATCCCAATTCATACCAGTATCCCATTATGCCATTCGATCCTCATTCTATCCCCATTAAAGCCACCATTTTTCTAGAAAACCCACCACCTCCCACGTTGTTTGGCCCGGTGGCCTTAAACGTTAACGGCCCTTTCCGAGGCACACCAGGCGTCCCGCGGCATCAGCATCTCGGCCACCTCGAAGAGACCCCGGCGACGGGCCTCGTCCGCGGCACCGCTGCAGCGACTGAGGGCCTCGGCACAGAAAAACATCGGATGGAGGGGTTATCTCAATATATGGGTAATATGGTACCTCTAATAATTAGTATTTATAATTTACCAGAGGGTATATATTATGGGTAATTATTGTTAATTTAATATCTAATGATCTAATATCATGGAGGTATATTAGGTATTATTAGAGGTACCATAAAAACTAGCTATGATCATATATTAGCCCAGAAAAACATAATCATGATCTAATAATGGTACCTCTAATATATGATCATAGCTAGTAAATTAACAGTTCGACCCTGGTAGATTGAATAGGTTGGAAGATGAGTGAAACCACTAAACATTGGTTATTTTTTAAGGGTCTATGTTAATTTACCAGAGGGTATATAGCTTTGTCTGAAAATATGGTACCTCTAATGGTACCTCTAAATTCTCAAACAGACCATTGGCTCATGAGTTTTCGCTCTATGGCCAGGAGATAACCCCAGGGATCTCCAAGTGATCCGGCCGCATGGAAGGCCATGGAAGCTTTATCCCGGGAGTCCATGGCCTGGAGCACCAGGCCATTGGGAAAGACCTATGGGAAACTTTGGGAAAATCGTTGGAAAATCATAGGGATTTCCCGTTGCCATGCCCTTCAGGGTGTTGACGTACTGCAAATTATTCCATGTGCGAACGACTTGTCACTGTGGTTACGAGACGGTTTCAAAAGATGGATGATGCTTTGGTGCAAATGCTTCCACAGCAGCACATACCAACCTGCGCCAGCCAAGCAAAAAGCCCGTCAACATTTTGAATGCCAATAGACTAGATTAATATACATAATTCCTGTACCCCGTAGATCCCTATGGGTTTGATTTAAACATAGATTGAACAAGCAATAGCTGTCATCAAGAAGGACAAGTTTTTTCTTCATCATGTGCCTTCGCCTATGCGTTTATATGATTTTATATGGGTATAAATCATCAAAAGCTAATATAACCAGCGATCTTTTCGTCAGCTGCTCAGCGATCCGGCGCGTGGCGGCACATGGCACTCTGACCTGGCGTGGAAGACTGGTAGGATTCTGGAACGATATCATGCTCTCGGATTCCAGCCACATGAATTTCGAAAGTCATTAAGAACTCTTGTGATCTTTCATATTTTAAATGATATAATATATATATATATATCATTATATATTATATTTTATATATTATATTATATATATATATTAATTATGATATTATATGGTAACATGACGTTTCATGGTTCCATGGACAGGGGAAATTCAGCAGGACCACCCCCCTCACCTCGCCATAGCGCCCTGTCGGCGTCGGCTCCCTGAGAAGCGACAGCAAGGGATGTTCCAAGTGGCGGCTCCTTGGCTCCAAGGGGCAACTGGAAAACCACCCCTTTTTAATAGGTAAATCAACAAATCTTAAATGGCAATGTGACCAATAGCTATCGAATAAATTACCAAACGGTGTATATTTTTTTTCTATATCATAGCAACTCCCCAAAAAAAGAAAAGTACATATCATCATGTTTGTAATTTGTAGGATATTGAATACGTATTAGGTCCCTCATTGATTCATCCTATTCTTACACCCCCAACCATGGTGTAGTTGGATCTACTCATTTTGGGGTCCCGACATTTTGGGGGGTACCCAAGATGGCTGCAGACTCAAACTGCTTGGAAAATGGCTATCTGCTATCCTGTTAAGTAAGTATATAAAAGTGAATTCAAAATCCCCTATACTATCCTATACTATTCTAATACTATTCTATTTTAATTAAACAGCTGGGTCCTAATAAACCACCTGTATTAACCAATCAACAGGGCGATAAGTTTCATGGCTCAGGTGACCCCTGGCGAGTTCTACCTGTGCCATGGCTCCAAAGGGGCCATAACTTTGAGCTGCGAAGACTGGTGCTGCAACCTGAAATGTGCGGACTTGGAATGCTGCAACCCATGTGAACCATCACTTGTTGGTGAGGTAGTTTGATATCAATTGGCCATAAATTCATTCAATAATGTTCAATAGATGATGTATGATGATGTGAAATGCTAGAAAGGAATAAAGCAATAATCTATAGAAACAATATTCTAAAGGTCAGCCCAGATTCGTTGCTCATCAACTTCCCACAAGCCACAAAGGTCTTCCAGTGAACATCCATCCAGCAAGTGTGACGTCACGAACCCCGACTTCGATATCTTCGACATCATCAGTGCGTGGCCAGACAGGTCGATTCGATTCCTCCTGGCATCCTGACATCGTGAAAAGTGATGGGCACAAGAACTTCTACTTGGGGGTTGAGTCACCAACTATAGAACATATTAACCAATATATTAATCATACTTGGATTAACCATGTATTAATCATAGTTAGATTAAGCATAAATTAACCATGTGAAAGACAATGGGGAGATTCCCTGATGGACAGTCGCGCTTATACTTGACAGCAGCAACCAGGGAACCAGCACCGGTTGCCTGCAAGAGCCATAGTGCATTGCAAACCTTCAGGGAACGCAGGGCTCCAAGGAGGACGGCATGAACAAACCAAGTATGTTTGACATCATTCATCTGATTTCTTCATTACCAGTCATATTGCCAACCTCAAAAAAAGATAATACTCTTACGCTGACTTAAAAACTCCACTTGGGTATTACCCTCAACTAGCACTTGTGTAGTGAATGACAATGATTAATCCTCTTGCGCGCCTCCATTGATGTGAGATAGCTTACAGCGTCTTTCTGCCATGGTGAAGTCAGAAGGTCAAGTACTCGTTCCTGGATGGCAATGAACAGCAATGACCTACTCACCTAGAAAATCAGGTGCAGATCCATCCATCTTCGGTGCTCCAAAAAATGGAAAGAACTTGAAAGAACCGCTTCCAAGTCATGCCATGTTATGACACATGCGCAACTCTTGCTGTTGTTTGCATCAACTGCCCCATTTGATATAGTTAAGATCACCTTTCAGAAGGACTGAACACCATTCTGACAAGCAACACGTTAGGTCACAAACGTGTAGGAATGGATACCATGCTATACACATAGCACGCCCAGCTTCCCATTGCTTGGCACGTGCACAGGCGCTCAGTGCTGAGTTCACGCACGCAGTGTCTGTGTTGGCAGACCGGTGATGCCTCCAAGCATAGCCTCACAGCTTTGGGTTTCAGAAACGGCCTTGGTCCCAGGGTCCGACCACAAAACATGAGAAATTGTCTTGGAACGTCTTGGAACTATGGTGAAATTCCCAGCTATTGGGTCACGCTCTATGTCTGAGCTTGGGAAAATTCAAAAGCCTGGGAACCAGATATGATTTTTGTGGCATATGGGCCTGCACAAACAGAGAATTGGCTTCAGGGAAATTCTAGAGGTACATTATATTCCTTCATCATATACCACCATGTTTGTTGGTTAAATCACAACTTATATATATATATACATACATACATACATACATACATACATATATACATATATATATATAACTACATAATTGAATAGGCATTGATTTACCACTGAATCACCATGAATTCAACGTTCAATCACCATTCATTTAGCATTAATTCATCATCAAATCACCATTAATTCACCATAAATCACAAGATCTGAAGCATTCCTCAGCGCAGCTGGTGCCTATCCAGTGGATGGCCGCTTCCCATTGGCTTCCGCTCGCCGAAGCTGCCAGCGCGACCACCATGGTCAAGGTGGAGGGCCTGGTGATGAATACGTATGGATATATATATAATATATATATATATATTATATATATTATATATATATTATATATATATTATAAATATATATATTATATTTATATATTATATATATAATATATTATATTTATATATTATATATATAATATTTAAATAAGTATATATATAATATATATATATAAATATATAATATAATATATATATAATAATATATATATATATATTGTATATATATATTATATATATATGATATATGTATATATTATATTATAAATAGAAGCATGTCAAAAGATGTGCTGGATCAGCATGGAGACACGTCAGGCTTGCAGCGAACATGTTTCAACCCATGAATGGTTTAATTCTAGTTGAAATCAAACCAATCAAGCCAAGGCAGTGATTGAGCTCTCTACAGTGATCCCAGATATCCCAGGCTGTGATGACAGAACAGTAGATATGTTGATCTTCATTGTTTTACCACCAAGAAATAACAACGAAGCCAACAAATCTCCCTTGGTCCGTGGCTTCAGAATGTTCCAAAAGATCAAAAGTACCATCGGACCATCCTCATGAAAGTCAATGTTCAACAGGGATGAGTCTTACGGACAAGCATTTAATCCCCAGCTGACCGCTAACATCAAACTGGTCCATCCACGGCCTGACGCGTCTTTCCAAGCTGGTTCCAATCAGTGTCAAGGCCTAAGCGAGATCTGCACTGGTGACAGGACTGAATTGTTGTTGCGGGACTACCCTCCGGTAGTTCAACAGTTTACTCTAAAAAAAACTATAATTTCAATATATATATATAGGTAAAAGATCTATCAATGAGCTATTTTCCATGAAATTACAGCAAGCCCTACCACTCTGTTTTGAGGTCTCAAATATGCCAAAAGAATCCAAAAGATGCCAGAAGGCATGCCAACGTTTCCAGATTGAAAACCACATGCCAACAGCCCTGTCTTCACCGAAAAGCAGTGCCTGCTGCCAATGGTATCCTTTGGAACAGGCCGATGCGGCGGCGTTAAGACTATCTGCTTGAATGGCCCCACCAATACCTGGGAGTGCGATACAAAACGTCACAGGGTCCAAGTGCAAGGACCCTGGGAAAACACCAGTCCGTGGTCATTTTAGCAATATTCAGTCGATATTCCAAAAATCTATTTGTCGGCTGTGTTCACTCTGTTCCACACCAAAGTGTTGTGTGGATATGCACTTGGACTTGACCTGAAAGGACACCAGCCATTCGTGTCCAAAGCATAGAGAATTCACCATATAAACGATTGGGTCATGGGCTGAAGGCCCGCAAGTTGCTGTCAAAAAAGCCAGCCCCAAAAAATAACGTGGAAGTTCATTCTCCCAAAAAATCGTAGGAGTGGATGACAGGTACCCTCTGGTAATTTAACATAGCTATGGAAAATCCACCCATTTTTACTGGGAAAATCCACTATTTCTATGGCCATGTTCAATAGCTATGTTAGTATACCAGAGGGTATGGATCCATCTGCAACTTCAGGTTCCAACATCAAAATACCCACAGACTTCTCCAGGCCGTACGCCGCGCCTGTGAAAAGAGCCAGGGCCAGTTGCCATTGATGTCCGGCTTCACATGCGCTGATGGCTGGGTTCACCACCACCTGAAGACGCTGCCGCAAATGCGGCAGCTGGTTGAAAGTGTTGGGAATTAATGGATGGTAATATCATGGGAAAATGGTGGTTTAATGGGATTTTTATGGGATTTTATTGTGATTTAAATGGGATATTAATGGATACCTAATGACTAACATAGGCTATTGAACATGGCCATAGAAATAGTGGATTTACCCATTGAAAATGGGTGGATTTTCCATAGTTATGTCAGTTTACCAGATGGTATCTATGTCAGTTAGTATAGTTGATGATGTTAAGGGGATGATTCTGATAATTTATTAGAGCTATTGAACTTAATAACATCCATTAATTGCCAACTCTGTTTTTCATAATAATAGATGGTCTTATTCATTAACTCCAATTAATCAATATGCTAGCTAATGACATAGTGTTTGTTTTTGATGTTGATTGGTGGTTTCTTAAGGGTGTCATAAAAAAAATCACGTTTGGGGCATCCCATGGGAACCCCAAGTCACCATTCAAAATGGTCTCATTTTTATGTCTTCGGAGGTTCCCCAAAAAATGGATGTGATCCCCTTGTTCCAAACGTTCCAATGGTGAGTTCCTTATGTTTTGAATGCTAATGGCAACCGAAAACACCACGGCCTCGCCTGAGACGAGCCATCCAAACGCTGCATGCCCAGCGCAGCAAAGAGATCCAGCGCAAGATGCCAGCCTGAGCCGCCATGGGAATGCTACCCTCATCAAACATGGCAATTCAACATCCTCTGAAAAATGCTGTTTTAATATGTTGTAATGGGAAAACCGAATCGATGATCCCAAAACATGAGGGAATAAATGGGGACGGGGTTCTCCAGCCATGTTTGATTACCGCACGGAGAAAAGTCCAACTGGTAAACAAACTGAAAAATAAGTAAGTCTGCAACATCTGTTCAGACTTAGTCCTATAGGATTACTTTACTATGTACTATGTAAGTAATATATAAAATACTGATTAGTACCCATCTAATTATAGGTATCTCGCTGATGATCTCATTCAGAAAACCACTTCTTTATTCTGATTCAACAACTCCTTCACCTACCTAGGTGGATGTGCATAACAATTCGTGCTTCGTAGGTCCCGCAACTGGGGTTCTTCCAGGGCCACTTGTGGCATCACCTGTACCTGTGCGAAAAAAGTATACATAGAGAAGGTACACGTCCTGTTTTACTATCAGAGCCGAAAAAAATAGAAAAGATTGGAACAGTAACATATGAGGTCATATACCACTTGTATCCACTTGTTCTTTTTCGCTTAACTCGTCAGAACTTATCTATCTTGGGGGGCCGAGCATCCGCCAAGGCACGCCGAGCCTTTACACAGCTGTGCATGGCAGCTGAGTAGCCAATCTCATCCTGGCTGATGCCTTGCGCGGTGATTCATCGCATCCGATTGGATGGTTTATTTCATGGAAAGGTCTGAAAAGTCCAACAAAAAATGAATGATTTAGGATGTTTTAGGGGTACCCCTGCTTCAGGAAACCCCATGTGAAACTGTGATGACCCATCCCTGTTGATGATTATGATGGTGGTGATGGTGTTAGTGCTAGTGATGATGCTGATGATGATTATGTGTATATATATATATATTTATTAGTAATTAGATGTAATTAGTGTATTATATTAATTATTGTTATTATATTAGATTATATTAGTGTATATTAGTGTTATTATCATTATCACTATGAAGATAACAATTATGACAATTACTGTCAACCCGCAGCATAATATGAACAATTTCAATTTTCTTGGTGAAATGCAATTGTTGATGGTTAATTTCCACTTTCTTTCCATGTGTTTCAGGGCCCCAAGTGCTTTCATGGGCACACCGAAAGGGGCCTGCCGCATGCGCCGAATCCAGCATAGCCAGAGCTGCTGACCACTGCGCCGTGCGAGCAGCAGCAGCGATGGCGGCACCACAGACGATGAGCTGAAAACGCCAATGTCCTCGGCGCAACGCGACGAAAACGACACCCCTACCCCCAAAATGGCAATGTTCTTATTGGGCAATGATGAAGCAGTGGATTTAGGGGAACCCTGTTTTCAGACCCCAATGGAGGATAAATGCAAAACGTAAAGATCATTGCAATTCTATGTATCGTTGTTAGTGTTGTCATTACCATGATTGTCTTCGACCCTCCAGATCCTAGGAAAACATCGGTGTTTTCGGAGTTTGACCTATCTCGACTGATTTTACCCAAAACACCATAAAACACCTAGATACTTTGGTCTTCGGTTTTAGGACTTTGATTGCATGTTTTTGGGTTTGGTGAGACAAAGGCCCAAAAAAAATTGCAGCGCCTCAAACCCGTTTGCTCGTGTAGAATCGCGGCATCCCAACCCCGCAAACAGCCCACGGAGACCGATTGTTTATTTGCCACAAAAAAAACACCACGGAAATCAGAAGCTCTTTGGATCCATTTCGGCGTGTAAAGTAAATCGGAAAGGATCCAAACGTCAGCTTGTAGTCGAGCTGGCTTAGTAACGGTCAGCTCAGTAACCAAAGCAATGTAGTAATTAGTTTAAAGACACAGAACGATCGCCAATTTGTGGACATTTTGAGGCAAAAGGACCCTTGTTGCCACTGGCAGTGTCCAAGCCCACCAATTCAAGCAGACATACCATGAATCAAACCAAAAGAAATGGAACCTGTTTTGCCGTGTTTCAATCTCCGATCAGAAAAACGGGCTCACATAAAATATGGTCAAAACCATGGTCGAACAAAGCACCCAATCACGAAGAGTAACCAAGAGTCCAAGTCGTGGATGGTCCAAGACTTTATGGACCTGGCTCCAACTCTGACTCCTCCCTGCGGCACTGATCCAGGTGCTACACGTTGTGGGGTCGGCATCGTCAAAATGCGACAAGAGATGGATGGCGTGTTGCCTGAGGTGGAACATGGTGGAACTTGAAAAACTGGTTCCATATCCTGGAACCTCCTCCCAAAACTCAACCAGACGTTCTCTCAAAAGAAAATTGTGAACCTTTTGAACAGGATGGTTGGATAGATATTGCAATTTTTGGGAGGGAACTACAGTTCCTGGAATCAAAAACCTCTCAAAAACAAAACAGACTAGGCTATAATACAAAGAGATGTTCATCTGTGGCAACCGAGTGACTGTTCAGATTAGTCACCTACCATGGTGGATGGGTTATCTTGAACCTAGTCGCAGGTTGGTGAACCCCACCTTGATAGGTGGTTGCAAGCTGCGGTAATTTGTAAAGGATGACAGACCACCAATGCAGAAAGGCAGCCGTCCTAACCATCCAGTAACAGACCAACTTGGCTCCAAGTTCGTGATTCATATACCCTACATCATGCTGACATCTTCGATCATGTTCGTAAACTTGAACTGAGGAATTGCGTTTCACTGCGGCAGTCACTAGATTTCACTGCATGAAATTGCCTAATTATACCACGAATATATTCGAAGGAAATTTAGAAGTCAAACTTCCGACAAAATGGACAGATGAAAAGCAGAGGTGGGAAGAGTGAAAGAAGAGAAGACAAGAAAAAAGAAAATCAAAGAAGAGAAGAGTCAGAAGAAAAAAGATGCAGCTGCGCGAAAAGGTAGAAAAGTCGCAAATCACTGCGTTTTTCAAATGATTTGTGGCTCCGGAGGGTCGAAAAGTTGGCTTGCTAAAGCGGCGGGTGCGGAGCCATCTGACCAGATGAGAAATGAAACAAGATGAAGCCCACGAACCCGAATGCTCACACGTATGTTAATGGTACAGATGTCAAAACACATGGTTATGCAGTCACGCACAATACCTTTCTGCAATAGTTTATTTGAACAGTCTTGTGCATGTTTCGCTTGTTACCTGTCTGCAGTGTGGAGTGGAAAGTGTAGAGTGTGGAGTGTGGAGTGTGAAGTAAGGAGTGTGGAGTGTAAAGTGTGGAGTGGGGAGTGTAGAGTGTGTAAAGTGTAGAATGCGGAGTGTAAAGTGTAGAGTGTGGAGTATGGAGTGTAAAGTGTAGAGTGTGGAGTGTAGAGTGTGGAGTGTGGAGTGTAGAGTGTAGAGTGTGGAGTGAGGAGTGTAAAGTGCAAAGTGTGGAGTGTAAAGTGAGGAGTGTAAAGTGTGGAGTGACGAGTGTGGAGTGTAAAGTGAGGAGTGTAAAGTGTGGAGTGAGGAGTGTGGAGTTTGTAAATTGTAGAGTGTGAAGTGTAGAGTGTAAAGTGTAGAGTGTAAAGTGTAGAGTGTGGAGTGTAGAGTGTAGCGTGTGGAGTGTGGAGTGGAAAGTGTAGAGTGTGGTGTGTAGAGTGTGGAGTGTGGAGTGTAAAGTGTGGAGTGTAGAGTGTGGAGTGTGGAGTGTAAAGTGTAGAGAGTGAAGTGTGGAGTGTAAAGTGTGGAGTGTAAAGTGTGGAGCGAGGAGTGTAAAGTGGAAAGCGTGGAGTGTAAAGTGTGGAGTGTAGAGTGTATAGCGTAGAGTGTAAAGTGTAGAGTGTGGAGTGTAGAGCGTGGAGTGCAAAGTGTAGAGTGTGGAGTGTAAAGTGTGGAGTGTAAAGTGTGGAGTGAGGAGTGTAAAGTGTGGAGTGTGGAGTGTGAAGCGTGGAGTGTGGAGTGTGGAGTGTGAAGTGTGAAGTGTGAAATGTAAAGTAAGGAGTGTGGAGTGTAAAGTGTGGAGTGTGGAGTGAGGAGTCTCAAGTGTGGAGTGTGGAGTGTAAAGTGTGGAGTGTGGAGTGATTAGTGTAAAGTGTGGAATGTGGAGTGTAAAGTGTGGAGTGCAAAGTGTGGAGTGTGGAGCGTATAGTGTAGAGTGTAGAGTCTGGAGTGGAAAGTGTAGAGTGTGGTGTGTAGAGTGTGGAGTGTGGAGTGTCAAGTGAGGAGTGTAAAGTGTGGAGTGTGGAGCGAGGAGTGTAAAGTATAAAGTGTGGAGTGTGGAGTGTACAGTAAAGTGTGGAGTGTGGAGTGCGGAGTGTGGAGTGGAAAGTGTAGAGTGTGGAGTGTGGTGTGTAAAATTGGGGAGTGTGGAGTGTAAAGTGTGGAGTGAGGAGTGTAAAGTGTAAAGTGTGGAGTGTGGAGTGTAAAGTGTAGAGTGTGGAGTGTGGAGTGGAAAGTGTAGAGTGTGGTGTGTGGTGTGTAGAGTGTGGAGTGTGGAGTGTAAAATGTAAAGTGTGGAGCGTAGAGTGTAAAGTGTAGAGTGTGGAGTGTGGAGTGTAGAGTGTAAAGTGTAAAGTGTAGAGTGTAAAGTGTGGAGTGTGGAGTGTAGAGTGTAAAGTGACTAAGGGGAAAAAAGTGTGGAGTGAGGAGTGTAAAGTGTGGAGTGTGGAGTGTAAAGTGAGGAGTGTGGAGTGTGGACTGGAAAGTGTGGAGTGTGAAGTGTGGAGTGTAAAGTAAGGAGTGTGTAGTGTAAAGTGTGGAGTGTGGAGTGTAAAGTGTAGTGTGGAGTGTGGAGTGTACAGTGCAAAGTGAAAAGTGTGGAGTGTAAAGTGTAGAGTGTGGAGTCTAAAGTGTAAATTGTGGAGTGTGGAGTGTAAAGTGTAGAGTGTGGAGTGCGGAGCTTCCCCCATAGACACGGCGACGCCACAGGAAAACGAGAGACTCGAGATGAGACGCATTGCTGCAGAAAAACGAGCATTTCGTGCGATACTTCCTCCAATTTTCACACTTCGTAGCTTCAAAATCAACGTTTTCCTACGAGTTTTCCTTAGAACCTGAAAATTTGCAACCTCAAAATCAATGTTTCGTGCGAGGCTTCCGTCAATTTTCAGCACATCGCACCAAATGCCACGCCTGCCACGGAATTTGCACCTTGTCGCCACTTGACGCAGCCCTGCCAATGCGATTTGCAATAAACACGCAACACGACACGTCTAAAGCGCTGCGCTTGCCACGAAAAATGACGATGGACACGTCCAAAGTGCTGCGCCTGCCACGAAAAATGCAACACATCTTCTGAAAAGGTCGCAAAAGTATTGCGCCTGCCACACAAAACGACTTTCGACACGTTACAAAACACGTCTGAATGTCACCAAGTGCCACGCCTGCCACGCAAAACGAAGCAACGAGACGTCTGAAACCTCCAAAAATGACCACCTCTGCAGAACTTACCATAGGCACGGCCATATGGTCCTCACGCGGACGGTTGCGAACGGTTGCGAACGGTTGCGAACGGTTGCGACCACAAACACAACGTCGAGCGAACACACCCTCAACCCCCAGACCCCCAGAGTAGAACGGGAACCCTTGCTACGCATTCGGGAAAAATGCACGCTGTGGTGGCACGAAGCACATTTCGAAGTCAAAAGTGCTAAAAACTGACCGGTTCGGACCAATTTTGGAAGTTGTGATGTTGAAAAAGCGCACACCGTTGTGGCGCGAAGCAAATTTTAAAATCAACATGTTAAAAACATTTAAAAACAAACGCCACATACTCGGACCGTTTTTGGACGTTGAAACGTCGTTTTGTGTGGCAGGCGCAAGGGATTCTGCACTTGTCTAAAGTGAGCAAAACGTGAGGGTTTTGTAGCATGTTCAAAGACGAGGGCAGGCCTGGGACGTTTGAAGAGGATTTGCAAAGATGCATTTCGCGTGGCAAGCGCAGTACAAGGGACATGTTCATCAGAGATGTTAGGAGGTTGGGGCGCTGATTTCCTGAGAAGGGTTGCACTTTGGAGCATTAGATCTTCAGGTTTGCTAAGATGATTTTGCGTGACATGTGCAGCACTTCGTATGACCTGGCTTCCGTGGCATGGGCAGTACGTTAGAAAGATGGAATGGAACAAAATCGCAAAACGCATTGGTACGAGGCCGTCAGCTCTGCACTCAACTTTCCATTTGTGAAGGCAGAATTGCTTTGTTTGGATGTTGTCAACTTCGAAAATTGGACGTCTCGCAGAATTGCTGCGTTTCTGATGTTCTCAAGTTCACAACTTCAGGAAGTCTCGAAGAATTGCTGCGTTTTTGATGTTGTCAAGTTCAAAAATTGAGGAATTTTCGCAGAATAGCTTCGCGTTCAAGCTTGCAGCTAGACAGATAGATAGATAGACAACTACAACTGCAACTGCAACTGCCACTACAACTGCGACGACTACTACTACTACTACTACTACTACTACTATTACTACTACGACCACCACCACCACCACCACCATCACCACCACCACCACCACCACCACAGCTAGTAACTACAATTACAACTACACTACATTACACAACACTACGCTACACTAAGTACATTACATTACACTACCACTACAACTACACCTGCAACTACAACTCATAACTACAACGACCACTCAATTACACAACACTACGCTACACTTACTACACTACACTACACTACAACTACACTACTTTACACTACACTACACTAGACTACACTACACTATACCGCACTACAGTACACAACACTACAGTATCCTACACTAAACTACACATATTACACCACACCACAGCTACAACTGCAACTCCACTACACTACATCTACAGCTGCACTACACCAGACTACATCCAGCCGCGGGTGAGCTGACCACCGCAACGCAACCACCTTTCGGTCCATCAGTGGATTCGCTCTGCCATCCCTGATTCACAACAAACCAACCTCTCCTTTTTCGGTTTCCTATTTTTGAAACTTCCGCCACCGCCGACCGTGCGGTACTACTGATAAGTATAATGCTACAAGCATCTATTTCGCAAATCCCAAAAGATTTAAAAAAAACAGTGAAGTCTTACTGAAATAGTGACGAATTACTTGTCGTCATCTTCTATTTTTGGGGTTTCTATGGGTTTCTATACAACATTCCCACTGCCATCACAGCACCATCAACACTTCCTGCCAGGCGACCAACGCCATGCGGCTTCGCAGACCTTTGCGCAGGCTGTGAACGTCACGGCATCCTCGGCGACAGAGTCGTTCCATGGCCATGGTGCATTGCTACTTACTGGTGCGAAACGCAGGGAATGAGGGAATGATCCATAATCACTAGTAATAATATGTAATAATCATCCCAGCAAGCCCAATTCCCATCCATTCCCAAGATTAAGCACCAGTAAGGTTAGATTCCCAAAGGATGGCAGGTGGAAGTATGGCCATGTTCAGAAATGAATGACTTGTACCTAGCTTGCAAGTACACGCGTGAGAGTTGATGCCTCGCAATTCGAAGTTCACTGTGCGGTGATAAAAGTGCCGATTCGCTTGGTGGATACATGTAGGACAGGCTTAGTACAGGCAATGAACACAGAGATCTTCCATCAACAATGACATCCATAGCACTACTGGTTGGTGGGTTTTAACCATCTTGAAAAATATGAGTTCGTCAATGGGAAGGATGACATCCCATATATGAAATGGTAAAAAATATTCACAATATTTGAAACCACCAAGCAGATTACATAGAGCATCAACCAGAGCCCTTGGCGCCATTACCATCCCAATGGCTGGGATTCCAGCTGGCTGCACCCTGACCCTGCGGGTCACCGAGGACGCCGAGGACAGGAGGGCCAGAGCCGCTTGCCAGCGTGCCTCCTGAAAAACACACACTGATCCCGAAAAATCCTCCCGAAAAATGCGGGAAAATGTTGAAGCAGATATATCATGAGACACCCAACAAAAACCATGGATTTCAAGTCATCCGCCGTTTATGACAGATTTTTTTTACCCAGGAACTTCTCACCAGGATATTGTCCTTGGGAGTACAATGTAGTACACCACTTTATCACTTTCTTGAAGCCTAAACTCATATTCAAGTCCATTGGGCAGCCCAGGCAAATCAGCTTTCCTCACTCTTTTTCAATGGGGTGCTATGAAAGGTGTTGACATCAAAGCCACTGGTCTATGAGTCTATGGACCTGGCCAAAAAAAAAACACTGCCATCCTAACAGTCCATTACCATGAAAATAGCTGGTAAACTGAGAACATCATTCCCTCAAGATATGGCAGTTGGTACATTGATCCATCCATATGTCGATGGTCCTAGGAGTCCACCCTTTTAAAACCTCATCATTTGTGTGGCTTCAATCCAATAAACTCCATCAGATCACATCAAATATGGGTTTGTCTGAAAATAGTGTACCCCTAAACCCAATGGTTAATGATCATTATCCCTATTAAATGGCTATAATTGGGAATATACCCTATTTTCAGACAAACCCATATGTTTTTTTTTCCAATGGCCCCAACTGCTTCACCAGTCCTTGCGGCACGCTGAAATCGCAGCATTCCAGCTGGCCAAGGCATTGAAACAGCGACCCATGAAGCAGCCATTGCCGCTTCACGAAGGCGCCACCCCGGGCATGTGACGGATGATCTTTCAGAATTCTAAGAATTTTGAGGTGAAGCATCAAGGGATGGGGCCGGAAACATCAGAAACTTGGGATATCTTGGCATATTTCTCTCTGAACACACCATCAAAAATAGAGATCTCCAAGATTTCACCAGCAAAGCGAGCATGGCATGGGTCGGTCACCACTAAATCGTGACCATCGGATTGACGTTGCCTGATGGTGAAACCACAACCAGAACCAGCCGCCATTTTCAGCCGGGATTCAGCCGTCCCTGAGGCTTTGATCCCCACGAACAGCATGGCCCATACCCTCAATGCCCACAGGTTTTGACCCATTGCCAGCAAGCTTAAATCTGCATATCTGATCATATGTGTAGGTCAAATCCCTTCATGTATGTTGCTGGTTTCATCCATTTGTTCCGGACAAATCCCAACATCCCAAATTTATCCTGGTCAAAATCACATATTTTTTGGTCAAATCATTCTTTTTTGTGGCTAAACTAGGATTCTTGAGGACTAAATCCAACTTGTTAAGGGATTTAGTTCGATGACTTTCCCATTCAAACCCCAACTGTGAGTTCGGGGATTTCCCAGCTAGCCATGTTTGATTACCAGAGGGCTATTGGGTTTGTCCGAAAATAGGACACACCCAATTCCAATGGTTAATAATCAACCATTTTCGCAGGTAAATTGGTGATTTCGGGGTATAGCCAATCTCAGACTTGCCCCCAAAGATCATATCAAGTTGGTTGTATATCCCATTATCATCCCATGTTTCAATCGTTGCCCTCTGATAACTTACCGTAGCTATGGAAAATCACCATTTGAATAGGGACATCATCTATAAATAGGAAATTGTCAACTCATCAATAAATAGGTTCCATAGCTATGTTAAATTCGAGGGAAAAACCCCACATGTTTCCATGATTTTCCATGGTTTTCATCCTAAAACCTCAACATCCAAGGGCGGCACCTCGTGAGCCCTTCGTTCGGCCACATCCACCTGTTCCGCCAAGCGTTCTTGGGCAATGCGCACCTGGCATGGCGTGGCATGGCTGGAGATGGGGGGGAACTCTGAGTTATTCTTACTTGGAGGATCATCCCACTTAGTAACTGGTGAATAACCATAGTTATAAGTCAGCTACGCAACACCACTTAGGAGACCTACGAACTGGGGTTACTAACCAATTACTAAGTGGGATGATCCTATAAATCAGGGTTACTATTGAAATGGAGATAATCAATGAATATATCTCCATTTTTACTGGATACCCAATGGGGACCAATGGGGATAATATGTTCGAACCAATCCAATATTATCATGATAAGATCCTCCTTATTGATACCGAAATCCATGAAATGGGGACTTACCAACCAGGGTGATTAATTAACCAGTTAGTCCCTTCCTAATTTTGTCAAACCCCCCAGATGTATTCCTTCCTAACCGTCGCCATGGTTTCTGGGGGATGTTTTATATTACGAGTACGGTAGGGGGATAGGATGAAACCGCGAAAATTACTCAAGAAATGCGTGTTATCCCTCCACAATTGGGATTTATGAAATTGGAGTTGACTATTTCATGTGTAAACGACAAATCAGCTTATGATTTTCCAGAGTAATATGTGTATTTCGCCAATGATAATCAAGTTGGGAGTAGTTTAATCGAACTGTTTTAGCAGCTATCAACTAAACATGGGCGGAAAAAAGGCAGGCACCAGGCAGGCAGGTTTTTGACCAACCAAAAACAATGTCTTAAGATGGTTGAACATACAAGCAGTACCAATAGTGCCACCCAAGTAGAGAAGGTTGCATAAACAACCCAAACAAATGGTATCATGGCTAACAAACAGTGGCATAAATCAAAGGAAGTAGACGGCGAGACGACACACTGAGAAAAATGGTACGGACATGCATGACTCATGACCTTCACTTTTTGCATTGTCTGATTGGTGGTTTCAGCATGCTTCAACCGATCTCAAACATATTGATGAATTCGAATCATCATCTCGCGCTGAGGAAACAACATATTTAAAACATGTTGAAACAACCAATCAGATTAAACGGATTTGAAGCATAGAAACTCGGATGCTAACGTTGTTGCTGTGATCATGGGATGGAAGGGCAGCCGGCATCCCTGCCATCCCTGCTGGATGCTGCACACTGTTTGGATCGAACTCCAACGCACTGTTCATAAAAAACCACCCTCTGGCTGCCGGGTCTACCGACGATTTTCCAGTGCTCAAACCCACCACATCTGGAGAAAGACAGTTTCATCTCATTTTGTAGCTTCAACATGCTTCAACCACCATCAACCACCGTTTTCCGCGGTTCAACCACCAGTTTGATTGCCGACATCCCATTTATATCACCAATAGTTAGTGTTAAGTGTTAGATAACCAGTTTATATAACCACCAGGTTATCCCAGTTTCATCCCATTTTCTGCTTGGATCCAGCATCAAAAAACTGGCGCCTTCTCCTCCGCGGTGTCTTTACCCATCAACACGCGTTCCTGACAGCGGCGGTCCACGTCCTGCAATGAGAGATTGATCAGTGGGCAAGCCAATTGAACTGGTTGATAATTTGATACCCTCTGGTAAACTAACATAGCTATTGAAAATCACCATTTTTCATGGGAAAACTCACTATAAATGGCCATTTTCAATAGCTATGTTAAATTACCGGAGGGTAATTCATTGGCTAATGTATTTTTATATATATATATATTATACATATATATATATATTGCCAATGGATTATCAACCATAATATATATAATATAGAATTATAATATGAATTCATCATAAACACCCCGTTTAACCAGTACGCTGTGCTGGTTCACCCATCTCTGGATCTGAAGGATCCAGAGATCAGTTCCACGTGTTTGAACAGGGCACAGAGTCAGGAGTTCGCGTGCTATCTGGTTTTGCCAGGTTTAAGGGCTTCATTTGCTGATCAAACTCATGGGTTGATTGGTTAGAAAATTGACCCGCTTTGCAACAGGCAAAAACGCTGGGTTGGGAGTCTTGGGGAGATAGCCTTTCCTGTAACCCGAGAGAGATCACCAGGGGATACTGAGAATGTCAACAATCCCGGGATAGTTGTGATAGGGCTCCTCCACGCGCCGTTTCGCTTCCTCCAAACGGGCTTCCGCCTGGTGGTTGACCGCAACATGGTCCATGGCTGGTGGAAGAAGGAACAAATCTCTTGCCTATGACACATCGTTTTTGAGGTATCCGACATGTATCCACCAGTTTTAGAGAAAACCTAAAGGGGTATATCATGGTTTATCTAACATGATACAAATAAGACTATGAGTATAAACTATCCGTGGGGTCACTTTGCATCATCCCACATTGGAGTATACCTAAACATCAACTTCTATTGGGGGCTGGTTTATTCTTGGGATTTATATAATGATAATTTCCATGACCAGGTTTGACCGCGGATTTTTCTCCTTGAGTCTGGCTCAAACTTTGGTTGCTGACAAAGGGCCTTAAATGATGTTGTGGGGTCAGTGTATTGATCAAATCAGCAGACTACACACACACATAATCCATGAATGTTCAAGCTATGACGTGTGAGAAACCCAATTTCATGGGATACAAACAATTCTGAGTTGGTGAGTTAGGGCTACAAACAAAAAACGACCAATGCCAGGTTCGAAAAGAAGCCCTCAGTCATCCTCAGTCCATTGAAACCACACCCTGGCTCTCACACCTGTCGCCGAGTCTGAGCAGACTTTTGCTGGCAGAACGCCTTAAATGGGACATCCCCATGGCCCGTGGGCTGTGGCATAGCTGGGAACCTCATTGAACTATGGGGGCTCCAAGCTTGGCAGTCTATTCCAAACAGGACTGATGTTGGAACCCTAATAGATTGAATGGATTGGTTGAAGGTAAAAACCACAGGAAACCATGGATATTATCATGGGTTTTAATACGATGTTAGTTTTCTTACCACTAGTTAGAGAGGTTTCCTGTAGTTGTCCCATCATCCACTTCCAGGAGTCATGTTTGCACTTGGACTTGCGTTGGCGACTCAGCAAATCAGTTGTAAGCCGGACGGAAGTTAGCCATGAAGAAAACACAACTAACTAAGTGTTTAAGTAGATTTTCCAGCTCTCTTAAGGTTGTCATAGTACGGTCAAGAGGGAAGGTTACCGACAATAGGGAACCCAAAAAGCTAATGATCAATCATCACATCTTTCTGTGTGTTCCCTACTCAAATAGCATTTTGTTACAGGTATCATCAATTTTCAGACACGCCACCAACCAAGTCAGTGGATATATATATATATATACTGGTTATATACCTATTATATACCCATTTTAGATGAATAAAGTTCTATTTCCGACCAAATGTTATTTTAAAATAATCATAATCTAGTGGAATAATCATTTGAAATGTCTTATACTATTATTCATCTGTACAGAGACAGAGAGATATGTGTATCTATATAATATACCCTAGCCTAAACTAACATAGATGTGGAAAGGCCATGGTTGCCATAGGAAAATGATCTGATAAATGCTGGGATTTCCACATCTATATATCCAAAATCAGACTAATTTAGTATTGAAACCCAAGGGTTTTGGGGATCCATCATTTTAAGATCCCCATACATATATATATATATACTGTATATATATATATATATAGAGAGATAGATATTTATGCATATGTATGTATACATACATACATACGTACGTATGCATGTACGTATGCATGTATGTATAGATTAATACTACAAGTATTCACAATGCTCCAGCTGTCACCGCAGCGCACAAAAACAAAACACCGAGGAACGGCGCGTTGCTTCACCAACTCCTGCGACAGGGCGCCCTGGTTCCGAACCACCGCTTGGCGCTCCTGGGCCGGTGAAGCTTTGTTGAACATCCTGTTCATTACGTATATATATATATACATACATCTGCACATATCATGTTAATATGATATATAATTATATATATATATATCATAGTATTATATAGTATTATATCATATATGTATATATATATATATATATCAGATTGAGACAATGTAGCATTGTACTCCTGCAACATATTATAATATCATCATGAAATCAATATGTATATATATATTATATCTATATTTATTTAGATGATGAATATCTACTAGCCACGGATGAAGATGGTCGCTGGAGATCCTCATTGATCCAGGGATGGTTTATATGAGGCTTTCCATAAATGAGGGATCCCCAATAGCTGGATGGCTTATTTCATGGAAAATCCCAAGAAAAAATGTATGATTTTTATCTGTACCCATCTCCGGGTAGATTATACTCTTCCACTGATCATCTGAATTTTGAACCGCTTGGGGATGATATTCCAGGATTCCGTCACGGAGAGGGAGAACAGTGAGGTCACTATGATTGCCCAGATTATATGTCGTCGATTTGTTGTGTCGGTGTTCTTTCACTCTGCTGAAACTCTGCGGAATTCTTACAATCCCCATCTTTCTTCAACACAACTCCACATGTCTGCGGATTAAACATGGTTAATCATGATGATTAGGTTATCATGGTTCAAATTCCCCAGCATTTCTCGGATTTACTGATAAACTCCCCATTTTTTGCGGTTCTTTGACTCCCCATTTTCCAAGATTTTGTTAGGTGAGATCCATCAGAAAACTCACAC